CTCTCTCTCTCTCTCACACACACACACACACACACACACACACACAAGTTGGTTCTGGCCTGTGAAAGCAGCAGCTTGATTTTCAAAGTAAATTTCTGAAGTGTTCATCCAAGAGGACATACTTGTCAAACATGCAGAGGTGCAAATTTATTCCTGTGGGTTGAGAATGATAGTGGAGTATCATCTGCATTATAATGATAGAAAAAGCGGGCTGAGCACTGAGCCCTGTGGAACACCATTGGGTGATTTTTCTTGAACAGGTCGATTCTCTCCATGATATCTGGTAGGTTTAGTTATGCAAAGTGGATGTAAGCACAGATCCAGTAATGAACAGTTCACTGAGTCTGGATAAGTTCATTTTATGGTTAAAAATGTGTAAGCGCTCTGTGAGAATCCAGGCAGTTGACATGTTGCCTGTTCTGGTGACTAAAACATAAACAGTTCACAAAAACAGTTTGAACAAACCCCATGTTGCAAAATGATATGAAGTTGCTTTAATTTCAGAAAGGGGTATATATGTAACTCTTTCTTTAGCTGTTGCACATTTCTTCAGAAATGTAAATTAAATGAAATGTACCAGTATAAAATAATATTGTGTATTCACAGCATTCTCCAGGATCTCTTTGTCAGTCATCTGTTACCCACATACAGTCCATTAGAGCTCAGAACAGACGTGTTTCTTAAACTCATAGTGTGACGGCAGCGATCTTTCAGGAAAACACAGGAATTAACCCAGCTGTTTACATTACCTGAAAGAAAAACACGTTTCGCATGAGCGCGCTGATACGAGCAGCCTCTCAGACAGTTCGACTCCTGCGGCTGTCTCACAGTCACCTGAGTGTGGCGAGATCATTAACAAAACAACATGTATCCAGTTTGACAGGCCATAGACTCCCTGCGATGATTCAGGATCTAAGGCGTTTGTTGGCCTTTAACAGGGAAGTTCTCAAACGCTGGCTGACAAGGTGATAAAACTCATTCGTGTTAAAGTGGAGAGTGACTACAACACAAACTCTATTTAACGTGAATGAAAGAGGTGCATTTGACATGACAACATGCAACTGTGTGAGTTTTGAATGAGCCTGTTAATGGGAAAGTTTTCTGGCCACAAATGTCTTATGGTTGCCACCTGTCTCTGAGTGTAGCTGCTTGGAAAAGAAACAATACTTCAATCTTGATTTGACCCTGAGAATCAGGCCAAACAAAAACTCTCGACTTTATCTGAGCTGTTTTTTGCTAGTGTGTTTCATCTAATCCTCCTGCCAGCGCTGTGATACTTCTGCTGATAACTGCAGCTCACTGGCAGACTCTTTATCAGCTGTTATTGTTTGTGTGATAGAAACAGTTCTTTCCCATAACATCCAGCAAGAGCCACAGCGATTAACTTCACTGACATGTCTCTTTTGGTCTGCTTTATCTGATTGTATTGCTGATTGTCTCTCTATCTTTGTTTTAATTCCTTCATATTGTCATGTGTAAATGTCTGGCAGGAACAGTTACAGGTTCCTCCAAAAATGTTTTTGTGTAATCTAGAAATCGAGAAGATAAAAAAGTACATATATCCCAGTTGTGAAATACTAAATGATAAGAAACTTTAAGTTTTGACATTTAATTGCCTCTGATTCCTATATTATATTTTTGTCATGACAACTCTCGGAGGGATTGGCATGGTAATGTACATGACAATGTTAATGTATTTGTTCTTGGCACAATAGATCTGCTACGCTGCTGCGGCAGAGCAAGTACCGAGACTTGCTACTGCCTGTATGTATTGTCCCTATTCATTGTCTTACTCATGTATCAAATTAACATGAGTTAATAGTATTTTTAGTTACTGAATAAACTAGTAAATGCTGTAAAAGGGGCACTCGCGAGCACCCTTTTGAAAGCTAAAATGACGAATGGGACACCCTACAGTCTCATGGACTTAACGGACACATGTACGTGGTGGCCATTGTGAGTCCTCAAGACCGCAAGTGCACATGAAGTGTGCCATTTGGGACAGGGTCCATATACACATACAGGTCCCACAGATCAAGGGCCGACGTCCCGCAGTGTTTGGTTCCAACACACCTGCCTGGAAGTTTCTAGTCGAGAGCAGTTTTTCCTCACACTAAATCACACACATGCTGACTCCATCTAAACATTACATGAAGCTTTAGTTAACGGTTGTGTATTTCCAGCATGTTTTATGTGATTAGGTTTCCACAGACAGATGTGTTTAAAACACAAGTCAGTTGTTTGCTGTACTTGTCCTAACGTCAATGTCTTCAAACCTCAGGACAATAAAGCAGCAGTTGTCATCATGCTGAAGCACTGCTGTGGAAAACAGGAGCAAATAATGGCACATTTGCCCACATCCATCACTGTTTCAGACTAAGAGCAGGGAGTTCGACTCTTGGTTTAACTCAGTTCTGTCATTTTACCTTATGGATTTAACTGATTTATCTGGTGTCTTACTCAGAAATTAAACTAGTTGTAATTATACATAAAAACAGAGATCAAATCTTAGCTGTTGACTACACGTGGCTCTCGTGGCTCTGTTCTGAATTCTGGTGGTGATAGTAGCTGTAAAACTGTAAAAGCTGAAAACAGTCGGCGACCCCTGCGGTGACCCTCGTCGCAGCCGCAGGGAGAAATCCATTAGTATCTGCGTCTGAGCAGCTGTTTAACATAGCACCTGACCCTCGAGTCATTCCCCGTCACGGACTCTTAGCGTGAGCTGAAGAACATGCTTGTAGGTCTGAGCGTGTTTCTAACAGTGGCAGATCTAGACCACAGTAACTGGGGGCGCCAGGCAGGGGCCACTTGTGCTTTTAGGGGCACACTTTTAAAATTCATCTTAACCTACTTTCAGCATTATTCATTCAGTAATTGTTCACCATGTCATGTATCACTGAAGTCTCTAGAAGTAAGCAATAACAGTTACAACTCGAATAAATGTTTCATTACCAGATTTTGTCTTTGCACAGTCGCGTCTGCTTCATATCACCTACTAAAAAGGCAAGCAATTAATGTAAGGCAAAACCAGATAATATCAATTAAATATTGAAACATGTCACATCTGTTCTCTGGTAGCTGCTGACTTAGCAAAGTCATGATTGCTTGATATGTAGTTTTATAAAGTCTAATATAAGCAACAGCGGACACTTGGATAGTTTAATAGTATTTTTCACTATGTGAACATGACTGAAATTTAATATTTTTGTTACCCGTCTCCTTTTTTTTGGTGTAGTTCTGATGAGTATGCGAAGCTCCTTCTCTCTGAAGCATGTGGTCTCTGCATGCAGTCTTTCCTCTTGACATAAAAGTTATCGCACAATTAATTACTTTTTCCCCATTACTGCCACCCACAGGACAGACTGCGCATTGCACCCAAAATTGTTTGGTGTGATACGATTCCAAAATTTTGTCCGTTGTATGATGCCGATCACATACAGGTGCATCTCAATAAATTAGAATGTCGTGGAAAAGTTCATTTATTTCAGTAATTCAACTCAAATCGACATTCTAATTTATTGAGATGCACCTGTAGATGTGACTATTAGGACTCAAAGTTATAGCGCCACCAACTGGCAGCAGGAAGTGTGCCATTTTTTTAAATGCTTTGAAAACTCTTATTTTTACTCCATTTCCTTAAAACTTCATCAGAATAATGTAAAAACACGGCAGATGTAAAACTGTGAAGGGATTCTTGATATCTTAAATACTGTTGCTATGGTTAACATGTCAAACCTTAATATTCTTTTCAGGTGTTTTCAGTAAGAATTTTCAGTGGATTTGGTGAATTCTGGGATGTTTTGTGGTGCAAGTTGGTTTGTGTCTTTCTAAAACATTCATCCTGTTTGATCAAATTACACAAATCATGTTTGATTATGTTAACATTTCAAAAAATGTTTTCTTCTGAGTCTTTAGTCTCTCTCTCTTCTCTTGCGGTGGTCTTGAGGACAGATACGGATCCATCAGGGACCCTCACGCGTCTCCTGCCTCAGTGAGAATGAAAGACAGCCAGCGCGTCTGTCCGTGACTAAGTGAACATTTCTAAAAGCTTATTGTCAAGAGCAGCTCATGGTCAACATGACGTTTAAAGAGTCTCAAGAAGACAAACAAAATCACTTCGAAATGACTCCACATCCAGACACAGGCCGAGGAAACTCTTCAGTTATTTTCCAGTTAGAGAGATGTCATGTTTTCTAGAAGTGCATTCAAAGAATGAAGCAACTATGTTTAATTTCTCTCTCTCTCTCTCTCTCTCTCTCTCTCACACAACAAACTTATTTCTCAAAATAGAAAAAAAAACATGTTAATGCAAATCTGCAGTAATTCAGTAATTAAGTATCTTCCCCCACACTTTATTAAGGTAATTTTACATATGTGACAAATGAATGCAAATACCAGAAAAAATCTGCTCTGGAGCGTCGACGGTCCGATTGGCACAGAGTGGAGATTATTCCTGTGATTGAAAGAGAAGAAAGACAAGCGAGATGGAGAAAGAGAACAAACTCGCAGACCAATATGAGTTTGAATCTAGAGAATCTTGAGACACAGAGGTTTTTAATTAGCCTTTTTTTCACATGTTGGAAAGAGGCGCAAGAAAAATGCAATAGACAACTTTCTTCAGCTGAATGATAATAATGTAGTTACAGGTATTTAACAGAAACAGTCAGTGATGAGTAGATGGACTCCTTGACACACAACTGCGGTCAGGCCAGCCTCCACTGTGAAAACACGCTCATTCTCGCGCATAATATATGCACCACGGCAATAACGTGTGGAAACTCAGTTAAAAGAAAAGCATCTTTGGCATTCATTATTCAGCAGTTGCTCTGTCAATAATTTATAAATAAGTAAATATAAAAATAAACAAATAAAGATATAGCCTAAACAAATAGCCTATAGCCTGTCTGATGTGAAATAACAAAATAAAAGCCTCTCATAAACTTGTATATACAACCTGTTTTTTTTCCTGTTTCCACAAAACCGTCTCACTTCAGATTGATAGTACACCTCAGCAGAGTCCCCCCCATTTCAGGACTGTCTGATGATGAATTTCAAAATAAGAGCCCGCCAAAACGTGCGTTTATGCTGTTCTGTCTACAGTCCTAAAGTGGTGCAAGTGATACTGTGTGAAGGCATACTACCAATCTGAAGTGAGTCTGTGAAAATGAGATACTCTCTTATAGTATCTGAATCATCAGACAGTCCTGGCATTGTGTGAGTGATGCTCTGAGGTGATGCAGATCAGTCGGAAGTCAGGATGGTTTCTGGAAACGGAGTTTTCTTTTTATAACTATATTAATTTACAAATAAAACAGGTTGCAGATACAAGTTTATGAGAGGCTTTTATTGTGATATTTCACATCAGACAGTTATTTTGATATTATTTGGAAATTCTACATTTAATATTACTCAACTTTTGAAATCATGTTCACGTTATCAGACCGTTTTTTAAACATTTGTATTATTTTATATTTATATTTATTGATGTTGTTTATGTCTTTATTTGTGTATTTTTATCTTTACTTATTTATTAATTATTGACAGAGAAAGTGCTGAATAAATGAATGCCAAAGTTCGCTTTTTACACGCTATCACCGTAATACATCGTATAGATCGTGTTTGCAAACAGTGATGATGATGTTTGTGGGCGGAGTCTATCTGGTGGCAGAAAATGACAAAGTAGCAGTCTATAAAAGCCATGGAATAAAAGAATAATACAAAAGTTATTTTGAGTTTATATTTCAAAATTGTCTTTTTTTTAAATAAAAAAATAAAAAATCACCTCGTCATTCTCTCTTTTTCCCTCGGCTCAGAAACATTATAATCCCACACTTATGCCTTTTTTTCCTCACAGAATTGACAAACTCGCAATTGTTGAGTTAAATCGAGTTATAAAGTCTGAACTAGGAGATATAAACTTGCATTTGCGAGAAAAAAGTCAGAATTGTGAGATAAAATAAGTCAATGTTATGTAGAGTGTTATAGGGTTAAATAGTATTTCATGCTGTAACTGTAGGGCTAATAAAATATGTTCCCTATGAACTGCATATGTGAATATTATAAATGCTTTATGATTTCATGCTCTCTTTAATGCACTCAAGTGGTTGATGAATGTCCAGATGAGCTGGAGTTTAGCGAAAGAAGATGCTCAAATATAAAAGATTTTGTGACATATGGTTTGATCATAATTCCCACACGGAAAAAAATAGTCAGAATAAAGAACAAATAGAAGTTAAGGTTAAACTCACCTTAAATTAACATGATGAGGGGGGTGTGTGTGTGTGTGTGTGTGTGTGTGTGTGTGAGAGTGTGTGTGTTAGTGTGTGTGTGTGTG